ACACACACACACACACACACACAAAGTTTCAATTTGGATGATTGAATATTGACTAGCAAAATTATTAACCAAGTTTGACAAACAATTTCCTTCTAGCAAATTAAAAACTAACATACAAGTAACTTAATTGTACGAACAATAGGTTCTCATTTTCCCCACAATGAATAATGAAAGAATAACGCCGTTTAGAAGGAAGCTCTTTTAAGAGATGATAAAGTGACGGAGGCACCTAACGGCGATGGCGCCACTTCAATATCAAACGAGTCGTAGCGGAGGAACATCTCCACCAGTAACAACCGTGAAACCAACACTACAAAATCTTTTCCGACGCACTGTTTATTGTTAATGGTCGACCTCTCCGTTTCTGGCCCGTTAGACCATACAACATGCTTCAACAATTTCTCCCCATTTTCACCTACGAACCTGTCGGCCAAAAACTCCTCGGACCTGTCGAAGATTCTCGAATCCTTTGTAGCAAATGGTTGGAACCCGAATAGGATTTCGCCTTCCTTGATTCTAAAAGCTGCGTCGTGAGATTCGATTATGAAATCTCGTTTGGCTTTGGCGTATTGGGATGGAACCGGTGGTTCGATACGGAGGGCCTCATACACCGTTGATTTCATCAGCGGCATGCGTTCCATGGCAGCCATCGTGATTTTTCCACCGTTTGATTTGATTACCGATCGGATTTCTTCTGCTAATTTTGTGTGCAGTTTGAGCCCTGCTCGGCCGACCCATTTGAGCATGTTGGGGAAGAAGAACTTCATTCCGCCGAAGGAATTGAAGCACGTGGCGAAGAGGAGATTATGGCAAGCCTCGTCACGTGATACACCCATTTTCTCGGCTTGATCAAGAACCGGAGTCGAGTTCTGGTAAAAGAAATCATATAATCTCTGATAATCTTTCTTGATCAAAAATGGCGGCAGAGAGAAATTATGAAGAAACCCATCTTCTATTGGTCTAGGTAGACCAAGACTCAGCAATGGATGCAGTTGAAATAACACCCATTTGCTAACCAGATTGGGTCCGTCGGATCCCAGATTGGAATCAGCCGGGTTTGCACCGTATAACGATCTAGCCAAGAAATTGAACGCGGCCTGATCATTAGCTTGGCTGAAGCTGGCTTTACCTTGGCTAGACAAATCCCTCTCCAAATTCTCAAACAACTCAGTATAACAGTTTTGGAACTCAGGAATCACTTTATCTCGACGAGAAGATAGTAAAAAGAACATGACTTGTTTCAATTTAGCGTGGCTTGGCTCAGATGGGTCTAAATACGATAGAACTCTGTATCCGCCGGTGAGTTCCGTCGACGGCATAAAAGTTCCTGTGAACAAGTCTTTCTTTTCGACTTTATCCGTGTCGAATAAGACCGGAAAACTTTTTCCGTCGAGCAAGACTATTACTTTAGAACTAGATGATATAAGAGGGCCCGGCGGCATATTTGTTCTGAAAACTGTGGACTTGAATTTTTGAATTCGAGACCTGAAGAATTCATATCTTCCCTGGTTATAAAAATAGTCTTGTCTGTCTATATATGGCCCGATAAAGGGAAGCCCGTAGTTTCCTGGGATTTTACGTATAGGGAGCTTCTTGAGTTCTGGTACCACCACCGTCGCCGGTGGTGTTGAAGGCAACTGAGCTGGTGGTGCAATGGATTGTTTTTCTGATACAGATGCTTTGATTGGATGGAGAGTGGACTCAAATTTGAAGGGTTTAGAAGGAGGTAATTTCGATGAAGGAAATTGCAGGTGTAGAGGAGAGAAAGTTAAAGAAGACGAAGCCATGGGTTTAGAGTTTTGACTTCTTCTCCGTTGTTGTTAGACGATATAGAAAGAAATGAAGGCTGGCTGAATTATAAAGTGGCACCCAGCTCTTGTGTCTGTATAAATAGGCAGAAATAAAAATTTCNTATAGAAAGAAATGAAGGCTGGCTGAATTATAAAGTGGCACCCAGCTCTTGTGTCTGTATAAATAGGCAGAAATAAAAATTTCGTTAAATAATATTATTACGAGCAAATTGCAAGAAATACCCACTTTCACATGATCAACTGCAAAAATGTCTACTTTCACATGATCATTTGCAAAAAAATTCAAAATTTGTTAAATGTCGATTTTGTAATAATTTAGACCAAAATACACTTATTAGCAATTTTTAACTCCATACTAAAGACAAAATTTTCATACAATTAAACATTGTGTTAGCCAATAAAATTTTTACACATAACCCATATTACTTTTTTTCAAAAACTATCAATGAATGTGGGCAAATAACCCGATAACCCAACCCATCGATCCGACCAATATAATTTTTAAAAATTGAATCAAATCAAATGCAAATGAATATTGTAGAAATAAAATCATTGGTTTCATATTTAACTATAGAATCAAATCACTCGATTACGATTCGGTTCGATCCGATTCGATTCTTTATATTTAAAATTTATAAAAATAAATATAAAACTATTTGTTAGATTGAAAATAAACAAAATGAATATCTTAAATATGACTCGTATAGTTCATCTAAGGGATGCCAATTCGACTAGTTAGCTCGGGTGACTTATGGCTCGTCCAGGGAAAGTTCAAGCCGACTCAGTGGGATTGAGGCGAGGCTCAAGTTGAGGCTTATTTTTTAGTGTCTACCTATGTAGCTCACTGAGTCACACAAGATAGTCCCTGCGTTGTAAAATGGCCCGTGACATGGACCATTTATTGTCAGTGATAGGGCCATATTGCATGCAGCTGCACTCGCATAAACAAGCAAACAGCTATGATTGCCTGTGCACACTGCCTATTTGCAAAAAAATCGAGTCGACTCAGCTCGGTAAGGCTCGATCTTTATCAAGCCTCGATTTTTCAACCGAGCTTTGGCTCGAATCAGCTCAGGCCATACTCGAGCCGCGAGTTTCGCCTCAACTCGTTTACGTCCGTAGTTCATTTAAGTTATCTAAATATTTATGGATAGTAATGACTATCTAAACTAGAGCTAAGCACTAGTAATGTTGAATAAAAATGATTCATTTTGGAGTTTTATATTCATCGATTGACAGTGTGGTCACTATCATATTATCCAATATTTAATATTATATTCAAATTTATTGAATAATGTAGTAATGATCACAATACCACATTGATCAATGATCATCTAAAACTTAGATGATGACATTTTTCATTATCTAGCACTACAAGTGCTAGAACACTTGATAGGTCCAATTAAAAGGACACGTGTACTTAAATGTTAAAAAAAAAAAAAAAAAATTCTACTAGTTAATGTCATATATACTGCTATCTAAACTTGTACGAACACAAGACTAAATATCATTACTCTTACTATTATATTATTTCATACGCGTCGCATGGAGGACACTTTATAAGTTAAAAATTCTTACAAAAATAATGTTGCATATTCCTAGCATTGATGAGTACCAATCTGAGTAGCGTTAAGCCCTTGATTAATTACCCTACGAGAATGCTATTTACTACCTATATGTCATTTGTTAATGTGCCATTTTAATTAGGGCCACATCTCTACATTTAGGATGACATATAAATTAATGTCATTTAATTTTCATCTAAATAGATAGATAACATTATTTGCATAAACTTGTTCCCCGCCACATAAGCCTCCTGTTTTTTGGCCTGGATTGGAGTCTAGCCAAACAGTAGATCTCACATTATTTTTATTCATTACAAAAAATGAGAATTGACAATATTTAAAAACACAAGATTTACTTGAAAACTTAAGACGAGAAAAAACTACGAAAAGAACATAAGAAAATTCAACATATCGAAGATAATTACAAGAGATTTTAGGCATGGATATGGTCTAGTTCAGTTATGTTCTCATTAGAATCGAACCGGATGCAAAAATTTCGGGTATTTAGTAATTGGAACCGTCGGATCCAAATTTAATTATGGACCCGTTCAAGTTCGATTCCCAGGTTCAGTATTATAATTAAATTTTTTAATATTTACAAAGCTATGTTCAATCTTAACTTTTGTAAAATAACGTAGTACAATCTTATGTATTTTTTGTGTCTTTCTTTGCTGAGTTCTTCATAGAAGAGGAAGATAGTAATCTCATCATAATTAAGAGAAGCGTTATCGAACTTCAATTCGATTTCTTCATAACAATGGAAACGGCAGTACGGTAGATAATAGATTTGGATAAAATTTAGATCAATTTGATTAAATTGGCTTTGAATTGAAAATTAGAAATTGAAAATTCATATTTTTGGTTTTGAGCTAAATTAACTAGTTAGCAAATTTATTTAGAAAAAATAAAATAATTTGGCTTATTAAAAATAATTAATTAAAAAATTAGAGAGATTCGATTTTTTGGTTCTTGATCCAGAATCAAGAACCGAATCGAACCCGTCGGTTCTCGATTCAGATACCCTTCAGGTATTTAATTTAAGAAGAACCACTCGGTTCGACTCGGTTCGATTCAGGAGTTTTGCCCAATTCCAAGAGATTCATCTAATTTGAATGTATATAATACAATGAAACCCTAACATATAATGGAGTCCTAATAAAACAAGTCAATGCCCCCACTTTTCTTTCTTCATAATTTTAGTTTCACCACAAATGTCGAACAAATAAATTTTAGGACCAGGCCAAACAGAAATTTGGTAATCGTAATCTAACATTATCAAATAAAGCTATGGTACGACATATAACTTTAATCTAGTTACAAAGTTACCTGTTGAAAGTAATTATATGGCACAACGAGTACTTAGTACATGTGGTTGGAGAATCTACCAAACTCATGAGTCATGGAATGAAAAATCATCTTAACTCACTGGAAATAAATTGGTAGACATATTGCTATTTAAACTGGTGCTAATCACCCATGCTTTTACATTGATTTTGTCATTGCTATTTTTTTTCCTTCTAAAAATGAGAGATTAATTTCACATACAAAATTTCTTTATGATTTTAGTTCTTTCATAAAAGCTGTGTAATAGCCAATATAAGAATGAAAAGAATTCCCAAACAAATCCCTCTCTTTCTATCAATCCCCCTTCTCGTTCCATACGTAACACTCCTTTCTCACTCAGACTAATATTATCCTATCGTGACTGATAGACAGAAGGACTATGTTGTTGGAGGTGGGAGACTAGTTTAGGTTGGACAGGAGGGGAGGGTTACATGTTGGAACCCTTTCACCCCTATGTATTTCAAGCTCTGTAAGTGGGCAGAATTGAAAAGGGTTGTAACTCGTCTAGGTTGGGTTTATGTTTATATTATAGTTTAGGTACAATGTACTACCTTTTTTTTCTTTTTCTTTTTCCTTTTTTTTTTGGGAGGGGGGTTCATAGATTGTAAAAAAAGATATATTTTTAAAAAATATTTTATCTACACACACATGGAGTGTCATAATTAGGGGTGTCATTTTGACTTGGAAGCTTGGATTGCCCATGGCTCTGCTCGAGGCTCGGGCCAAGCCCATTTCAGAGCATCAGTCCAACTTGTGTCACAGGCTATTTTGGCCCCTTGACGAGCCAACCATTTAAAAAAAACGGAACAATGCATAACCCAGTCTTTTAACGTGCACCATTTCATTTTTAAGAATCAAGGTTTAAATATACACAAATCAGGTCATAAGTAATCTATTACAATTTCTGCAGAAATCTCGATCACAAATCAATGCCACATCCCAAAAAAAGAAGCTCGAGCAATTGTATGAAGAAAATCATTTCACATTATCGAAATCGATCTCAATACCAATCGGAATTAATTGACCCGTAATCCATCGTTCTTCACGGGGATTGTCCAATCTAGATTACAATCAGGTATGTGATTCCAATTTTGAAATCCTATGACAACGTCTATATTCATCATGTGGCTCGAATTCAACCAATTCATATTAGAACATTACGATTTATAGACAGTTGCCTATGTGACTCAGCTGCATTATGATTGTGGACGTGAAATCATTACGTTATGGACAGTTACTTATGTGACCGATCTCGATATGTAGCATGAATTTCAATGTGTGACCGTCATAGGTAATTGGGATTGACTGCACGTGGTAGTGTTCTACGTATGATACAGAATTTTTTGTATGTGACCTTGAGTTGTTGAAATCGTACTTTCTATCAGTGCCAAGAACTATATAAATATGACCATAGCAGATACTTTAAAATGATATGTGATTGATTTTCTCATCTAAATCCGACAGTTTTCCTTTTGAATTTTACAGAAATGGGATATGTGTACGTTTGCTTGTTATACGAGTCACAGTCAGCACTGGTGATAGTTGATCATAATTGTTGTTATATAAAGCATGTGGAAACAGTAGTGACAGAGTTTAGTCTAGATCCTACTAAGGTAGTTGTCACAATGACTTACACACTGAATGTTGATCTGCCTCCAGTAAGAATAAGTAGTGATAGTAATGTTCGAACATACATGACTCTAAAAGCTGTAGAGCGTGACCCGTCAAAGTACCCCATAAACATTGAGGTGACATCTACAGAAATAGAACATGAATCGTTCAGTTCTATGTTAGACAATCCAAATGCACTTTATGTGCAATCTAGTGCAGGTGTGTATCAGTTGCAGAATATAACAACTGAAATATGTGATGCAGTTGTAGAAACATCCCATCGCATGGATGAAAATTTGGTCAAAATTGTTTCCATTCCGGATGCTATAAGTATAGAAAAAGGCAGAGTGTTTCATAATAAGGATGTTTTGAAATTGAGCATGTCTTTCTTTGCCATACAAAATATTTTTGAATACGTGGTAGTTCGATCAGATAAGAAGGAGTATCTAGTCAAGTGCTCACATGATGACTGCAGCTGGATATGTAGGTCTTCAAGATTGGGAAAAATGGAGATTTTCAAGATTCGAAAGCTAACC